TAAATGGGCTTCATGGCCCAAATAGTTGAATTTTGAAATATTTTAATCGTTGATTGAGTATATATTTTGAAATTATTATGAATCAAATATTTTAAATTCGAATTTTTATATTTTCAAATATAATTTTTTTGAAATATTTTCTATTTAAAAAAATATTTAATTTAATTTTAATTATTATGAATCAAATATTTTAAATTTGAATTTTTATATTTTCGAATTTATTTTTTTGAAATATTTTATATTTTAATTTTTTTAAATATTTAGTTTAATTTTAGTTATTATGAATCAAATATTTTAAATTTGAATTTCAATATTTTTGAATTGATCAAAATATAGTTCTAAAATTTAAATATCTAAGTTGGTCAAAAATTGTTAGAATATATGGTCTAAAATTGGTCAAAATATATAATTCCGATCATTTTGATTGATCAAAAAAATTTGACGATTTTATTGGTCAGAATCAAAATTTGACCACTTTGTTGGTCAAACCAAAATCTTGACTATTTTTATTGGTCAAAACGTTTTGACTATTTTCTGACCAAATTCCATTTGCGACCATCGATTTTTTACGAATCGATTTTGGTCAAGTACTAGTCAGAAATAGCTGTTTTTACCAATTTTAGACCAAATTGATTGTCAAAATTAGAATGTTTTCTTATAGTGAAATTAGAGAAAATTCGTAACACTTTTACAACCACACGCCATCTCTGAGCATATGGATTCAAAGACTAAAAATAATAAAAAGGTGTGCTCATAGGAATGTGAAAATAAAGAGACATGATATAGAACAATAAGGTATTGATGTTAATTTTAACCAAATTTATACATAATCTGAAAACACACATACGAAGAGTGAACAACGCTTAGAAAACTTAAATTGCTTACCAATTCGCTATGTGTAGCCAATCTACGTTCATATTACACTTTTCAGCATATATTCCACAATATGAAAATAAATAAGGTATGTAATTTAAATCTGTAAACAAATTTCTCATAGATTATGTTACAATTAATTAGGTTTAATGATTTTTTTGGGTACCTTACTGGCGGTAGTGCTTTGAAAATAATTGGTTGGTGTTTACATGCAAATATATTTTGGTTTACATATAAGAAGATCAAGCCAGC